TCCATCCTATTAGAGAGCTCATTTGAAAGCATAGAATCTTTCCCTTTTTTCCTCTTCTGTTTCTTGATGATAACATTGATTTTCTTGTCCAACCACTTGTGCTGATTGTAGAGATGGGCACCCTGATAACCATCTTGGACAAGACTTGAGCCAAAATGAATTTTGGAATTGGGTTTGGTGGAAATGCAAGGCTGGATCAGGTCTATAGGATACTAAATAGTTGAGTGGAGGCATCTCAAGTGCCAATTGCAGATGGTTTTGTTATTTAACACAATTCTGTGCACTCTGCATCCAGGGTGTGCCTACCCCTAAAACACCTTCATATTCTTTAGATGTGAAAACAGCAGTAAAAAAAAAAAGACAAGCAGACACATTTAGGAATTTAAATACCAAATACAACAACATTCATTGGAGGTACTAAAATACAACACAACATCCAAGGTTTTACAGAAAATCCCAGTGTTATCAATTATCACTCGTCTCCAATTTTCCTTTAGAACATTTAGCATGACAGAAAATGCAAAATCCCTTACAACTTTCTTTCAAAAATCAGTTTGTTCAATTTAGTTTTCAGATTCAAATTAAAAATTGGTTACATTGTTTTATTTCCCATAAACTCTTAAACTGTCAGTGTTCCTAATGTGAGAAAACTCATATTTTTGTGGGAAAATTCACAAAATACCGAAGGAAGATAGTGTCCAGGCAAAGTTGCTATGAATCCAGCACCAACAGTTCTTAATATCCTAACTACTAATGCGAAAAACAGCACATTCCACAGATAAAGAATATGATTAAAGATAGAAAGGAATTGTATCAACACAGAGTTCGAGGAGGTTTGAGTTCAAGCTCAAGGCTTTCGATCGGTGGAAAAATACTTCAGCAGCAGAGCTACCATTTAAAATATTTCCATCTTGTTCCAGTGATATCTCATAAGCTTCTGGCTACTATTTCTACATCAAGAAATTCCAAATTCTTTCAGAAGCTCAGCAAGGCCTGAAGAAAAGTCCTTGAAAGGCAGGAACAGGTCACTGGTTGAAAAGGCTGGAGCTGACTGAGCCAGGTGAGCTCTCTGCCATGGGGAGTTCCACCTTGCACAGCCCTCAAAATCGGCTGCTGAACACTGAGCCCAGCTAAAGCAGAGAGGCAGGGAACAGGTGACACAGGGTCAAAGCAAAGATCCTTCATCTACTTAATCACCAATTAAGTATTGCTCTTTTTAGACAAGACAACAAGTGAAAACGGGGAATGAGGTTTGGCTCAGATTCTTACCAAAAGAAAAAACCCTGATGGTACAGAGAAGGTCATTAAATGCTTTCATTGATGGAAATGGTTTTGTGGTCGAGCTTGCTGAGGACTGGAATTTCCTACCTTGCTCCACCCCAGCTATAAATCAGCTTTCTCCTACCAAGGAGGCGTTGCCAGCATTGCAGGGATGCACAGGAGGTGGGGGAACAGAAGGTGAACACAAACACCCCTGGGCAAGGAAAGCCAAGCTGCAGCATGGCCAGCCCTCAGCAGGGACAGCTGCTCAGGAGATTGGGACCACATCAATCTTTAATGGCTTGGTTTTCCCCTCACCAGAGCAAAAGAAAGAAGAGACAAGTTGTTATGCAACTTTTGAACCAAGCCAGCTTTATGAAGCACAGGGTGCTGCCTTCCTGCCAAGAAATGCTGCCTTTGGTCTCCTCCTCTGCTCCCTGAGATGAGGCTCTGCCCTCTCCTGCCTCTCCTCTGCTCCCAGCACTGGTGGCTACACCTCTTGGCAGGGCCCTTTGATAAACACAGCAGGGCTCAGCAAACCCTGTAAGCACCCACTGAGGGAATTCAGCCCCAGCACTCGGTGCAGAGCCTTTCAGCCCCAGATCTTACAACATCTCAGACCTTTGAGAAGCCTGAGGGTGCAGGGCTGAGGTCAGGAAGTGTGAACACAGGCAGACCCGTGTCACCTGCAGTGGCCACTGACGGCTCCCTGCCCTCTCACCATGAGCTCCACACCCCTGCCCCTGCCCCAGACCTGAGCTGGAGAGAAGTGATTCCTTTTTTTGGGTGAGCAGCAGTGCTGGTGGTTGGTTTTAGCACATGATAGATGCCAGGCAGCTCATTCCTCCAGCAGGCACAGGGAGATGCCTCCTTGTGTTGCAGGGTAGGGCTGTGTCCATTGTCCCATGGTCAATTATCCCAGGACCTAAAGCAATCAGAGACCACCAGAGTCATCTGGTTTATGCAGCAGAGACCAGCCAAAGGGTTAATCAGTGAAAGAGCTGCTGGAGCTGTGTGGTAAGAGGAGGGACAGGACCAAAGATGAAGATATCAATGCACTGGGCTTGTGATGCACCTGGTTCCTTTCAGAGCTGTTCCCAGAACTGATCTATTGCAAATCATGGAGCAAAAGAAAGCAAGCAGCATGGGCTGATCTGCAGCACGAGTGCTTGTCCTCATGGGACAGCAGCCTGCCCTGGTCCTTTCCACACATGGCACACAGCAAGACCACTGATGCTTTCACTGACCACCAGCTAAAACATCCACCCAATTACCCTCTGGGCAGACTGGAAGCAACAAATCCAGATCTATCAGCATGTTTTGTCTCGCCCTTTTAGGAGCAAATCTCTGAGGTTTTTCAGAGGCCATTTTAAAGTGGCTTTTCCTCTCCCCTTACTTCCAAATGGCCCTGTTGCTTTTGTTGGATTAAAGTGTGGTCGAACATCACAAAAGCAGGGATATGCTCAGTGTCCAGCTCAGTTTCTGGGTAATGCCTGGTTTGTGAGTGGTAATTCCAGTTGTTTGTCCTGCTAGAGGACTGTAATTGCTTTCTGTCAGCAGGGTCCCATCTGCCGAGGATCTGCTGGGCAGTGCTCTGGCTGAGACACACACTGATGTTGTGCTGCAATGTGAGATTATGAGGAGCTTCCATCACTGAATTGTGTGATTAAAAGGAACACAGTAGGGCATGAGAGCTGCAGGACAACTGCACAAAGCTCCTTGAGAAGGCTGGACCCTGTCTTTCAGCAGAGTCCAGAAAAGCATCAACAAAAACCAGTCTGCAGGGAAAGAGCAGAGCCTGTGCCTGGCACAGCATCGCCTGCTAAAGCCTCAGGGGAAGAATGCATGTGGGTAAACCCCGGGACTTCAAAGGAATGAGATGAAGGAGAGTTCAGCACTAGCAAAATTGAAGGTTTTTATAGGATATAAATGGCTTTGTGCCTCATCAAAAGGGTAGAAATCTCAGGGGTGGAACAAATGATAGAGGAGGTTTTGCAGAAGGAAGCCAAGTCTGAAAGAAAGAAGTGACTAGATAAGAATGAAAGGAAATAGATGGTGAAAATGGGGTGCAGTAAGGCCTTCTAAGGCTTGCCAGCACTCTTGAGAGTTAATTGGTATTTACATTTAGGGGTGTTTAAAAGCCTTGGGTTTATTGATTTGGAAGAATCCCACACCCCAGAGAGCTACACAGGCAGATGTTGTCTACAGGAGACAGTCCTGGCAGTAAATCCAGAGACACTGGTTAAACTGCAAGCAAATACAAATACAAACCACACATGCACCAGCAAAGGCCAGCAAGAGCAATGTGAGACCACACTATAATGATTTTCCTCTTTTGCCCCAAGTCCAATTATACAAAGGCAAAATTCCCAGCCAGTCGTGCAGGAATGAGGCTTGGGGAGCCTCGAGGTCTCTCTGTTTTGAGGCTGTTTGGCAGTGCTCTGTGGCAGACCTCTCCCCATCTCCAGAGGCGTGAGCTGCTGCCCCGGTTTAGGCTGAATTTATCTCTGAAAGGTGGCAGAGGAGCAGCAGTGGGGCTGGCACAGGGGTGGGGCAGAGCTGCAGGGTGGTGGTGACAGAGGGAGAAGGGGCAAGGGGGAGCTGGAGGGTGTAAGACACAAAGAGTTGAGACCCAAGGAAGGGTCAGAACAATGCCAAAGTCTTGCTGGGTCTCTGAGTGATAACCTGTGGCAGGTACTGGCAGCAGCTGAAGTTCAGGCTCTCTCCTGCTGGCAGTGTTTGGCAAACAGCAGCTCTGCAGTGTTTTGGTGCTCTCAAATCTCAGTGATTTCCGTCACGCCGTCCCAAAGCTGACTGGGGGGACAGCTAGTGTTTAATCCCTACTGAAAATGAATCAAAACAGGAAACCAGCTCGCTCTGAAGAGCAACCTCGTGTAGTGGATCCTGCAGAAGCACCAGAGGCTGAGCCTCAGCTCCAGTCCCACCAGCTGCCCTCACCCCTCTCCTGCAAGAGCTGAGTGCCATGGAGCCATGGGTGAGGATTCCATAGGGAGCAGGGCACACCAAGGAAGCTGGGATACATGAATGCCTGTTCTTCTTACTCCTTCCCCACTGCCCATACTCTTACTTGGGTGCCTGATACACCCAAACACCTGGTGAATGGAAGCACAGCAGAGAATGCCAGAGAAACAGCTTTGTTGGCAAGTTTTTGAGGAAAATATTTTTTTTCGAAATTCCCCGTTGTTTTTTCTTAGCTGGAAAGCCAGAAGAAACAAAAATAGACAAATGTTGTAGTTTTTTGGAAAACAGATACAATAAAAATGTACATTTTGGATTAAATGAAAAGTTTTGAAATTCTCAGTACCCAAACTCTTTTTAATAAAATAATTATTGGTTTCTATCTTTTCAATATGAAACAAGGGTGTTAGTAAACCGATAATTTAGTGAAAATAGTTCTTTTTTTTGCTTAAAAAGGGATTTCATTTTGCTGGAATAAAAAAAGTAAAAGCTGAATTTCAAATAGACGTTTTTGACTGGTTCTCTAAAATCCATGTGCTGAGTTGAAATATATGTATGTGCATATATGTATATGTATGGGAATACATACAGAGATGCTGAATATAAGAATTATTCTTTACACTTTTTAATGTCTTACATAATCAGTTAATTTGCTTCTGCTCCATTAAAACAAAATCTCCCATGGACATAACAGTCTGGTCTAATTATTCATTTAATCTACAATCATTAGCATCAACCGAGTGCTTTTCTGTCTCTTTTAGAAAAAAAGGACTTTGAAGGGTTCTGTGGAACTTTCCAGGATTAAATGTGTGGAAATTGTGAAAACTGACATCATCATTCCCTGTCAGTACAAATACCCTTTCCAGGTGAGTCTGTCTGTTGACCACACTGAGAGAGACCTCATTTTGTATTTCAATAGCATTTCCTTCACAGTGCATTAATGTTCATTAATGTTCATTAATGAACCCAGCACAGGGTTATTGATCAGAACCTCTACTCTAATTTAAACTAATCAAAAGTCGGTGAGGTTAAGAGATGCTTCTGAACAGCCCCTGCTACTCCACTTCCCCACATCATCATTTGGCATCTAGCTTGTTGGTCAGAGGGCTGCTGCCTCTTTGCTTTGGTGACTCCCTTGTGACCAGTGCATCTGGGACTGATTGCTTCTCATGGCTGGCTCCTTTCTCTACCCCCTCTCCAGATTACCCATGACAATTGTATCCTCTTTTTTTTACCCCCTCTCCAGATTATCCATGACAATTGTATCCTCCTTTTTTTACCCCCTCTCCAGATATCCATGACGATTATATCTTCCTTTCTTTACCCCCTCTCCAGATAGTCTATGACAATTACATCCTCATTTCTCTACCCCTTCTTCAGATTACCCATGACAATTGTATCCTCATTTCTCTACTCCCTCTCCAGATAGTCCATGACAATTACATCTTCATTTCTCTACCCCCTCTGCAGATTATCCATGACAATTGTATCCTCCTTTCTCTACCCTTTCTGCAGATTGTCCATGACAATTACATCCTCTACGTGTTTGCCCCCAACCGTGAGAGCCGGCAGAGATGGGTCCTCACGCTGAAGGAAGGTAAAAAATCCCCTTTGGCCACCGAGTTGTGGAAGGTGCTTATGTCTGACCAGCTTTGTCACAAATAACACAGAGAAAATGTGCAGGAGGAGTCAATGTCTCCAATCTCAGCAGTCAAAATGTTTAGAACCCAGGTAGTGGGTTATAAAATCAAATTGCTTGTAAATCTGGTGGGTGTGTTTTCAGCAGACATGGGAAATTTGGATGTGGGATGGTTTATTTGCCTTAATGCCTGTCAGTGTCTGCAGGGAGGTGTCAGAGGATGCACCTGCTCTGTTTGGTGGTGCCAAGCAATGGGACAAGAGGCAATGGGCAGAAATGATGCCCAGGAAGTTCCACCCCAATATGAGGAAGAACTTCTGATGTCTTGGGTTTTAGATTTTATATTTTTCAAAATCTCTGCTGCTTAGTGTGTAACTCTGAAACTTCATTTTAGGTGTTAATAAGTTCTCTTCACAGGGTAGTTGGACAAAACAATTCCTTTCTAGCTGGAGAATCAAGGACAGCTGGTACCCAAAAATCAGAAACAATGGCTAAGGGAAGGGGGAAAGCAAGGGGGCTGAGACTTCATAGCCTGGGGCTGTGGTCGGATAATTGACCCCAAGATGTAGATGAACCAAAACTTATAAAAGTGTAAAAACTCGTGACCAGGATCCACCTTGGATTTGGTTTGGGTGTAGCCCCAGCCAGGCTCTTGCACTGCCCAAGGTGTAACCCTCCAATAAATACTTATTTTATCCCTTTTACTCTGTCCAGTCTCTGTTCCAGGTCAGCCTTTCCAGGCAACACTTCCCTGTGCAGTGACTGGGCATTGATTGCCCAGAGAGGGTGAGAGGTCTCCCTGCCTGGGGACATTCCAGAACCATCTGTGCCACGTGCTCTGGGATGGCTCTGCATGAGCAGGGAGGCTGGACCAGATGACCCACTGTGGCCCCTTCCAGCCTGACCCATTCTGGGATTCTGGGATTTGTGTCTTTCTAGAATAAACTCTTAATAAATTACTGTAATTTGAGGTTTCTTCTTCAGGAAGAGATGAGGATTTACCTATGACTAATTTTTTTAAATAACCTTTTCTAAACAGAAATTTTTTCAGGTCTTATTAATAGATTTTTTTTGTTAGATGACAACCATTTTAGACAGTCATGATTATTAAGGAACATTTTTTGTGGGTAGCTTTCATTTCCTGTTACCTCCTGCATTGTGCTGTGGTTCACTCTCATGGTGCTGCAGTAACCAACACTGGGAGCAGAGACAAGCAGAGTGCTTGACATGAGGAAGGTGTCAATTAATTACATAAAAACTGCACCAGGTTTCTGTCACAGCTTTTTCCTGTTTTACAACACTGCTGCTGTATTATTCCCTCTGGAAACATTGTGCCTGATGGAGATATTGTGAAGTTCATGCACTGACTCTTGCAGTCAGTTATTCCCCTACTCGAAGCTTTTGCTTGATCACCTCTTCTCATTCAACATTTGGAAACTGTCCCCTCCTTTGGACAATTCAGTCTCTTGAAACAAGCCTGCAGAAGCTTCTTTAAAGGGCAGATTATTTCCATTTACTTCTAGATGACTTCTAGAACAAATGTGAATGCAAATAAATTCATTTCCCCCATTCTTTTTCTTCCCCTAATGTTTTTCAGAAACCAGATACAACAACAGTTTGGCTTCCAAGTGTCATCCAGACTTTTGGTTAGATGGCAAGTGGAGATGCTGTGCTCAGACAGAGAAGATGGCAGCTGGCTGTGTGGTATATGACCCCACCAAAAACGGTAAAGAACTTGTTAAGACCATCCTGACATGGAAAATGTTTATTCCTAGAAAAAGCAGAGGATTGAATCTCTTTTCACAGAACATCAAAAGATATTATGTTAGATTTCTATAAAGAGACATATTCCTGCCTTCTTGGGATGTTCTGGCTTATCTTTTACTGTATGTGGCATTCTCTTTTTTTGAATTCACATTTTCCTCTGTGTGATGCTTGATGCTGGTTTTGGAATGAGATGGAGAACTAAGAACTGGATCAGCTGTGGTCAGTCAATGAGCCATAACAACTTTCTTGAGATTAAACACATTCAACAGTGCATGTCCAATTTTAACCAAACCATATTTCCTCTGTGGTTTCAATGGCCAAACATAATCTTTACTATGTCTCCTGAAAATGAACACAAGTAGTCAATTCTTTTTCACCAAAGAAACATTTAGCTTGTGTTTTTTACCTTAATGCCTTAAGTAATCTGTGCCCCAGTTTCCAAGCCCTGCTGAGGCTCACTGTGTAGTTGGCAGGTCTTGCTCCTGTTCCAAAAGCTCACTGTTCAGTGGGTTTGTATCACCCCTATCAATTCATTGCATTGCTGGTTTCTCCCTTGGTTTTTTTCTCACTTACTTCAAATTACCTTTCTTGATTTCTTTTCAGCCTCAAAGAAGCCTCTTCCTCCCACTCCTGAAGATAACTGGGTGAGTGCAGTGATGCTGTCCTTAGTGTCCTGCCCTGGGTGATTAACTGCCAGTGGGGAATATGTCCTTATTAATGTTCACCACAGTGCAGTGACCTAGAATCTCACCTGTGATAATATTCCCTTGGCATTTGCTGTGCAATTGAAATTTTTATGTGAAATTCATTGTTTGAAAGCCCCAAAGGTTTCTCATACTGCTATCACACCCCACTACATAGTCTGGGGTGCTTTGAGGCTTTAGAGCCCAGGGAACAATTCTGCCAGGAAAATGCCACTCTAAAGAGCATGCCCTTGCTTTTTATGGGTATGAATATTAATATGAACATTAATATGATGAGTCTTTTTCCTAATTTGTGCAGAAATTGTTGCTAGACCCCAGGGAAGCCGTGGTCATAGCCATATATGACTATGAAGCCCAGAACTCAGAGGAGCTGACATTACAACATAATGAGGAATATTATGTCATTGACAGCTCTGAGGAGCATTGGTGGCTGATTCAAGATAAGAATGGGTAAGTCCCTTTTCAACAGCCAATGTACAAATCCTTTCTAATTCCAGTTTGTTCTTCCATTAACACACATGTTTAATTCCTCACATTCAGCTTTTGCAAAGCATCCTCATATTTAGAGGGAAAAAGTGATAGAAGGTTATTTAAGGTAATCTTCTTCCATTTGCTGTTGCTTCAGCATCTGAAGGAAAGGATCTGAAAGTTAATTTTACAGCAATAAACAATTCAGAGTGATATTTGCAGTGATACACAGGGGGGGAAATTGTGAAACTCTCCAAGTTTAGAGGCGCAATCAGTTGTTTTCTTCTCCAGTAACCCTACTCAATACATCCCCACTTTACAGCACTTTTATCATGCAATGAGCAGGCAAAGCTTTCCAGGCTGACTCCCACAGATGCAGAGAAAATCCTGTCTGTCAGCACACTCACACTTGTCTTGCCTCTCAACAGGCACGAAGGCTTCGTGCCAAGCAGCTACCTGGTGGAAAAATCACCCGAGAATCTGCAGGTTTATGAGTAAGTTGTGCCTGTGGTTTTCTTTTCTGTGTTTACCTCTGAGTGCCCTGGGTTTGAAGCTACAAGGCTCAAATGCCCCCACCCAACCTCACATTCCACCCTGGGGATGCTCCACTCAGAAGCTTTTCGGGAGAAACTTTCCTGGCCTAGAAACGCTGACTCGGAGTCTTTTGATGTTTTCAGGTGGTACAATAAGAACATCAGCAGAAGCAAAGCAGAAACTCTGCTCAGGGATGAGGTAAGACCAGTGTTATGTACAGGGTGAATGGGAAATAATAATTAATCAATTCATTAATGACAAATGAAGCCTGCTTTGTGTAAGAGAGGTGAACCCTGGATTCCTGCTCTGTGTCCTTGGTGTGATGTGAAATAAAGGACCATCAGCACACGCCCCTTATCTCCATGTTAGCTGAGCGTGGATGGAGCTGTGCCATCCAAACACACACAGTAACTGGGACTGGAGGAAAACACTGCTTCAGAACACTGTGCCAGCTGAAAACTGTGATTTTAGCTCATCTTTTCTGTCTCTGCAGGAGGCCTGTGGATGCCAGTAGTTCTCTGAAAAACTAACCAATCTTGTGCTGAAGTATTTTGGGTGAAATCCAAAAGTATGGCTGTGGGTTTTGTTTTTTTGATTTTGTGTGTGTGTGCATGTAAGCACACATCTTTAATTTTTCAGTTGAGCCAGGGTTTTCCAGTGAAGACTGTACTGAAAATGCAAAGAATAAGCTCCTTGTTCAGATTTTCCACACAAACATAACCTTAATTTTTATAACAGCTCTTACATTAACAGGTCGGCTGGCTCTGTTAATAAACACAAATAAAGTGTTCCCTCTTGGAACAGTAGGATTTTATGGAAATAGGAGCAGTTTTGTGTGATTTGAAAAATTCTTATACAAAGTATAAGAACACAAGTCCACACATGGTTTAGTGGTCTTATTTTTTCTTTTGGTCCTACCAGTACAACTTTTCTGTGGTAATTACCCCCATGTGGCTGCAGAGACTTTTAGTTCAAAGCTTTGCAAACCTCAGAGCTCCCCCCAGAAATGTGGCCAAGTTTGTGAATGATCTTTGGCCAGGCTTGGTCTCACCTGAGAACGGAAGGGCAAGAATAGAGCTTAGAGTAACTTGGGCAGGATGTTGCCTCCAAAACTTGCCCACCTCCAGTCCTGAAGCCCTCCCTGGGTGTGATTAAATGCTTCTACAGCAGCAGAGAGACTTTTTTTAGAGCTTTCCTGTGCCAGATACTGTGTGGTGCAGATGCAGTAGATGTTGTGCAGACACTGAAGGGCCAGCCCTGGGAAGGTCACAGCTCAGAAGGCTGATCCCACCTGGGCAGAGCTCATACCTGGGGATGCAGGAGCAGCACCTGGAGCTGATCAAACCTTAGGGAAGGAGGCCCAGGCAGGGTGCACTTGGTGGATTAGCTTTTCATGAAGTGTTGTGGGTGGGTAGAAGACATAAAATGGAGGAAAACTACCATGTAAAGCAAAGGAGGAGGGAATGAAAAAAAACCAGGTACTTGGGATGCAAGATTAAAATCTTCTTTATCTGTAAGCAGAAGAAAAATGTGGGGTTTGTTACCAATATATAGGTCAGCACAGCACATTCCAGCCAAACTGTGATGTTAAATCTCCTTTGCCATCTGATCCATATGGGCCAATGGGATCATGCCCTATCAGGCATTTTAGCATTCAGATGAGTGGAAAACAATTACAGTGAAAAGTTAAAAAAGCAAATTGTTCTGTGAATGCCAGACTGCAGGAGCACTGCTTTCTTACCCACTGCTTTTAGATACTGGATGACTGGTGTACCTATGAAAGGGCAGGATCATGTCCAAGGTTCTCCAGTTTGTGGTACATTGATAAATTATCATTCCTACATTGCCATATGGATTCTCTGGTGCTGGATAAAGTGTGATTTGTTCTGTGGCTGCTCTCACCACGGGGAGCACTCAGAGGGGTTTGCCTTTCCACTCGGCCACACATTTCATTGAACATGAGTTCTGTCAGATAGGGCTGAGGGCAGTCAATGGATTCAGAATTTCCAGAGAGAGATTTGGAGGGACAGAGAGGCACACCCACATGTACTCAGCACAAGTGCCTAAGCCTCATTTCCTCTGCGAGCTCTGAGAGGAAGCTGAGCTGAAAGCACCTAACACCCAAAAGAGAGCTGCATGCCCTGGGCAGCCACCAGAGCTGTGCATGGAACACACCAAGCTCTGTCAGTGGGGTGATGGCTCTTTTTTTTTCCTATATGTTTAGCACATCTTCATGACAAGGCTGAAATAAACACAGCTTTGCCCCCAGCCTACTTATTTATTTTTTTCTTTTTTTCCATTATGTGTCTAACCAGTTTTCTTTCCTTTGCTCCTGCTCCAGGGTAGAGAAGGGGCCTTCATGGTGAGAGATTCGAGGCAGCCTGGCATGTACACAGTCTCTGTTTTCACCAAAGCATTAAGGTACAGCCGAGCTCAGCAGCTTTTCACATCAATTACATCAATGAAATGGCTTCTATGAGTGTATAATCTCTGTGTAGTTGTTTTGGCACTATAACGAGAGAGCAGAAGGCTCATGAAAATGATAGAGGGAAAACACTTCCAAAAAAGGCAGAAGAGTCAGCTGCCAGTCCCAAAGTGTATTAAAGGCTCTACTTCTCGCTGAATCTAAATAAGTGCCTATAAATAGTCCCTTGGACATCACTGGGGTTGTCATTGTGATGGCATTGTCCCCTGAACTGAAGTGTCAGTAGGATCAACATGGGCTGTGTGCTGGACTCATCAGAGGTGGGTAGTGCAAGACAAGTGAAAGGGTTTCAGTGACGGGGCAGAAAGTTGTGTTTCACGAAGGAGAGGCAGAGAAACTTAGCACACAACCTTCTCTTATCAGGAAACCTCAGCCTCTCTCTTGAGGTGCAGCCATCTGTGAGTGAGAACACACAAGTACACAGAGTTCATTAGCAGCTCCTCCTTGCTCCTCCCCCATTCTTTCTGGGGGGAGTTCTCCCCTTTGCTCACTTATTTCTGTTTGTACCCCAAATCCCTGTCTTTTTGCTGCAAGCTATTTTCTCTCTTTTTCAGCACGGACAACAATCCTGTTGTAAAGCATTATCACATCAATGAGACAACTGACTTTCCCAAGCGATACTACGTGGTAGAAAAGTGCGTGTTTGACTCCATCCCTGACCTCATCAACTACCACCAGCACAATGCAGCAGGTGAGTGAAGCTGGTGCTGAGCAGAAAAGCTGCTGCTTTGCCAGGTGACTCTGTTGAATGAAGGAGGGCTCCCAAGCCCTCTGTCCTTACAATGGAGTGTTAAATGGCATCACCTTTTCTCCTATTTATCCTGAAATGACCATTTCAGGCCAGCTTCCAGCATTACATCCTCACTCTGGTTGTCCTTCTAAGGCTGACCAACACAGATGTCATAATGACATATGATAGAGTCCCTGGGGGTGTATCACCAAGCTATCTGTTGGAATTACACTGCAGAGCCTTCCTGATGGGATCTATCCCTGGGCCTTGATTTGACACAAAGTCAAGGACATGGCCAATATCCATACCCAGACATGGTGATTCCCATCCCCACGGTCCAGGAGTACCAAGGGAAACACTGGGCTTCAAAAATACCCTATAAATACCAAGTATAATTTGGGAATTCATCAGAGTTCACAGATACTCAAAGCTCTGGATGTGAAAATGGGAAATAAGCTGAAAGTGCTCAGAGCTGACTTCCTTCTCTCAGGCAGGAAACCAGAGCCTGCACAGAGGTTCAGCTGCCCTCAAGTGGAGCTGAGAACTCAGTGCAATAAATCTGCTTCCAGAGCCCTCTGGGGTGGTGGCAGGCAGGCTGCCCATGGCTGTGGCAGTGACAGAACTGTCCCTGTGTCCCCAGGTCTCGTGACACGGCTGCGGTACGCCGTCTCCTCCTGGAGGAAACAGGCTCCCATCACTGCAGGGCTCTGCTATGGTAAGGTTCTCTCTTGGCTTCATGGGAATCACACTCCTGGCTGCTTAGCTGGGTGATCCTGCACATCCCCATGGATATGGAGGAATATTCATGTGATTACAGCCACAATAAATGCCTTTCTTCAGGTCTTTCTGTAACAGCGGTGGGAGTTTTGCACCATTTAATTAGTGGTTTGTCTGGAGTCTCTTCTGCCTTCACTCAGAGCCAGGATTAACAAACACACGAAGGAAATGGATTTTCTCATATTCGGGTTTGGTTGTTTATTAAATCTTATCAAAAGTACAGAGCGTTCATCAGCACTTCTAGCTACCTGCTAGAAGCGAGGAAAATGCAGGAAGATCCAGCTGCTACAAGGTCTCTTAGAGCTAAGCAGTTCAATAGAGAATTAGCACCTATATTATTTATCTTTTAACCTAATAACTAAATTCTCATGACTCTTAGTGTGAGACTGACTGACTAACCAGAAACTACTACCTGAAACCCATAAAGAAGAAGGAAGAAGGAAGATGAACACTGAAAAAGACACCACTCAAAATCCTCCATATTGTCCCATACCTATTACTATATTATAAAAACTTCGAATTTAAAACCCTTCACCATGTGAAAGCCCACATTTCTATTCCACTACACACCCATGATTTTACTTTTATCACTCAAATTTAGAAGCCTTCTCCAAGGTCAAAAGAAGTGCTCTCCAGGGGGTCAGTGCCAGACAGCACAGAAAGCTCAAAACCCCCAGATTTCTGGGATCTAACATCTTTCCACTGCACTGTTCACCAGCTTGTCATCTTTGTCATGGCTGTTGATAAATGACTGAACTGATCCTGCAGTGCCTTGGGGGAGGTGATGAGAACCCCAGGGTCTCAGTGAAGTCAGCATTAAACACCAACATGAATGCTGAACAAAGGGGATGGAAATGGGAGTGTAGAATAATTTGATGAAAGCTGAGTCCCTCCTGAAAGATGCCTTCATTTGAATATTGTTGTCAATAGAACTTTGCCAGTATCATCTTTATTGTAATTCTTGGGAGACTTCAAAGAAACTCAAGCCCCGTGCTGTGCTGGGTACTGCACATAAGCATGGTAAAAACAATCCTCCCTGAAGAACTGGATAGGCAAGACAAAGGAGGGAGAAAGGGGATGTTGTTGTTCCTACCCTTGAACATGACCTGCAGCATGGACTGCAGACAGGCACTCTGAGGGAGAGCCAGAAAGTCTCACTTGGAGTCCTGCCTCAGTGTTTAACCCACAAAAGCTTTTTGTTTGGCATTCTATTGCTCAGTCCTTACTCTTTCTCCCTTGCAACCAACAGGAAAATTGGTCATTAATGCCTCTGAGCTCACCTATGTGCAAGAGATTGGCAGTGGTCAGTTTGGGGTGGTCTACCTGGGCTACTTGCTGAACAAGACCAAAGTAGCCATAAAGACCATCCGTGAAGGAGCAATGTCTGAGGACGATTTCATCGAGGAAGCCAAAGTCTTGATGTAAGTGGCAGATTCACCACTGTGGGATTCATAACACTGAGCCAAAGTCAGGAATACGAGTAGGGAATTCAAACTTGGATTATCTGTTATGTATCTTAATAGTAAATAGACTGGTGAGCTCTGGTGGCTATGAAGGAAGGCAATTCAAAGTGTAGGTAAATTACTGTGCTTCCAAGTCTATCAATATCCAGAATGGTCTTCCAGATCTCTGCTGTTCAGGAAGGCAAGGATAATTGATGGTGCATTTTGGAGAGCAAAGTGGTTTTTGTCAGAAAAAAAATCTCTTAAAACTTAAGGGCAATTTCATTGAAAAGCCTTACTTGTAAAATGTTTTGCTTTGCACAACTGAATATATTTGTCTTTGGTTTTACTGACTTTTTTTGCTTTTTTTTTTTTGCATTTCCCTCCCCACGAGACAGACAGAAATTGATTTTATTTTTGTTTGATTGGATGGTTTTCCATGCAGAAAAATATTTTGGTGACCACTACCATTAAAATGGGAAGATATTTAGTCCTTGGTCTCCACATCAGCAAAGCTGGCCTCTGCAGTGAGCTGGGTGCAGCACTGTGGCATAAATTGCTGTATATAACACACTTGCTGTGGGGATAGCAGCCTATTTCAGCCTCTTTCCTGCCTTCCCTCCCTATCCCACAGGAAGCTGTCTCACCCCAAGCTAGTCCAGCTTTATGGTGTGTGCCTTGAGGATGCTCCCATCAGCCTGGTGTTCGAGTTCATGGAGAACGGCTGCTTGTCCGACTACCTCCGGAGCCAGCGGGGCAGATTCTCCAAGGAAACACTGCTGGGGATGTGCCTGGATGTGTGTGAAGGAATGGCTTATCTGGAACAAAACTCTGTCATCCACAGAGACCTGGTATGTTGGTCCCATGGGGATTTTTTTCTTTGCTCCGGAGGGGCTTTTCCCTCTGTTTTCTTCCTTAATTTCAGCTTCCACATTCCTCCTGCCTTTCTGTTTATAGGGGATCCTGTATCTGCCCTCACTGCAGAAGCAGTACAAATACTTTAGGGGGAAAAAAACCAAACAAGCCCTAGAGCAATGATCAATCTATTCCCCTTAAGTGGTTATAGGAGAGAAGAAACAAGCCTATAAAATTTGTCTTTTTTTTCCTAAGTGGACTCTTTTGCTCCCCAAGAGCCACAGTACTGGCCACTCTTCATACCTAAAATTATAGAGAGGACAAGAAGACCTGTGCTAGAATAAGTCATGTATAAACATGCATTGATGATAAAATAGTTTCAATTAATGGGTTTTCAGTCAAGCTCCATCAGTCACTGCTGCAGTTTCATCAGGCATGCAATGACTGTGAGTAGCTGTGGCTATTTTAGGGTCTTGCTCCACCTTTTCTGGGCAGCAAGGACCTGCAAGTCAGAGTGATGGTTGAGCAGCTTTTTTGGCAACAGGATCGTGCTGCAAAATGTACAGAAAGCATGAGCAGCTCAGGGTTTTGTTCTCTTTGTATGGCACAATGTCACTTTGATGCTCCTTTTTTAAGCATTATCTGCTCTTCCAGGATGAAAGCCCCTGAGTGGCTGTGACAGTGTTTTAGCTCTGACCTGATGCCTTTGCACTTTGTTTTCTTGCAGGCTGCCAGGAACTGCCTGGTGGGGGAATCCCACGTGGTGAAAGTGTCCGACTTTGGGATGTCGAGGTAAAGGCAGCGAGGCTGGGCACGGTCCCTTGGGGCTGTCAGGGATGGGGTAACTCAGCATTCCCCCTTCTTTTCCTCTTCCAGGATTGTCCTGGATGATCAGTACACCAGCTCCACAGGTACCAAGTTTCCAGTCAAGTGGTCTGCCCCAGAGGTTTTCTCCTACAGCAAGTACAGCACCAAATCTGACGTTTGGTCGTTCGGTAAGAAACCCTTGTCAAAATGGAGAAAATTCAACAGCCCCAGCTGAGAAAAACAGGGAGCTCAGTCCTCAAGTAAACTCTCCTCAACATTGTATTCTCTGAACTCCAAGGGTGTTGAATAATGGCTTAGAAATCAAGCCTAAATCATTTAAGGGAAACAAAGAAGGAAAAGCAAACTACCTAGATACTTCAGAACACCCCAAATATTGCCAATTTAATGTATTATACATGTGCAACTCCAAATATTACCGAATAATGAACTGTGTTTCATGCTGACATAGCAGAAGTGTCCAAAAAGAAGCTGGAGAGTCACTGACAAGATTTTATGAGGAGAGGAGAGGAGAGGAGAGGAGAGGAGAGGAGA